GCCGCTGGCAGCCCTGCGGGCAGTCCTCTCCCAGATCCCCGTGCCCTGGGCAGGGGGCGGGGAGCTGAGGTGTAGCTGGTGGGGCTGAGCCCAAGCAATGGGAAATACTCAGGGTGGTAGTTCTGGGAGGGTCAGTCCTGGGGCACAGACACTGCCATTAGCTGGCCCAGCCCACCTGCCTCAGGGAGGGAGGGTGGGGCCCTCTCCAGTGGGTCCCACTAGGCCTGTGAGGTCAGCCACACCCTGGGTGGCTTGGATACTCTGTCTTGTGTGCAGGGTTCAAAGATTCTCTGAATGTGTGTATTGGCAGGGAGGGAAAAGGGGCCAAGACCCAGCCCCTGACCTGGGGCAGGGATAGGAGGTCGTCAGCCTTATCGAGGGGACCAGATGAGGACATCCATGCCTCTAATACCAGTCAAGAGCCAAGTGAATGTCACAGGTTTCTCAAAAGGCACAAGAGCAATGGCAGAAGAAACCAGAAGTTTCTCAGAGGTTGAGATGGGTCCTGTGGGAGGAATTCTGGCAGGTGGAAATGGGGCTGGGGAGGTAGTGGGGAGTGGGTGGCATGTCAGGGACCAGAACAAGTTAAGCGAAAGTGCAGAGGAATGAAAATGTGGTCAAACTGAGAGAAGGGCAAGTCTGAATTTGGCTAAGGGGATCCTTGGGCTGAGTGAACTTGGCAATGTGTTTACCATTCTGCCCCATCCCTGACCTTCTCTGCCAAAAAGAAAAGCTCCTCCCAAACCAAACACCACCACCCCCTGCCCCCCGGGCCAAATAAGCAGCAGAGGCAGCCTGATGCAGGGGAAAGAGTTCAAACTCTGGAGTTATATGTCTTTGGTTGAATCCAAATTTCACTGTAGAGACTTGCAACTCTGGACAAGGACCTCAGCTTTTCTAAGCCTCACTTTCCTTCACTGTAAGAGTACTTTCTTCACATGGCAGATGAAAAAAGATGAAGTCAGACTTAGGCAGAAAGTTTAGGTCATTGCTGGCACACACCAAACACGAATTCTCTCTGCCCCTACAGCACGTGTCTCTGGCTGGCTCAGCTGTGTCAGCGTGATAGCTAAAGCCCAGTCACCTTCCCTCCTCTTGCACCAGTCCCTCTGGGGATGCTGCAGCAGTATCTATCTGTGGAGTTCAAGCTTGGCCTGTTTCTTCTGGAACCACCTCTTCAGGAAGGAAGGGGCACCAAGGCCTGACCATTGGGGACAGGAGCATATCTGCTCATACTTCAAACAGAAATGGCACAGAACTGACCCCACTTGCTCCCTCTGCCTCCTTCGCAGGATCCCTGGAAGGCTCCACTATTTCAAGGACTTAAGGAAGGGTCCTTTTCTTTCCCAGATTCCCTCATCAAGTTAAGCACCGACAGCCCTGGTACCCTCCTCTTCGGGCACACTAGTCTGGGCAGGCCCAGTGATCCCTTGACTTTGCTCCCAGCAAGCCTGCACCAGGCCCTGGCTGGAGCTGGCCTGCCCCTGAGCTCCGCAGAAGGCAGTGGCATCCATTCAGGGAAGGTCCCTTCTGTGCCTGTCCTCAGACCCTGCTCAGTCCTGCCTCTGCAGCTCAACACGGGCCAGGTCAGCCCGGTCAAATGGGAGGTAACTCTGTGGATGATCCTGGACTGGGGCAGCCACGGGGAGGGGTGTGTGGGGGCTGGCTGAGGTGGGCACCTGCATAAGAACCTGGGAAGGGGTGGGGCCTCTGGGCCCCAGGGCTACTCCTTGCTTAGAAGTACTGGACACAAGAGCCAGAACAGGCCTCAGAGCCTGGAAAATACAACCCCTTAGCTGGAGAGGGTCCAGATTTGCACACAGTCAAATCTCTTCTCTGAACATCCTTGGCTATTTGCTTGCACAGGCATGGGCTCTCTCTGTGGCTACCCAAGAATGTGGTAGCACTGGCTGCCTCTGAGATGGGGACTGCGCATTGGTGGGCAGGGATGGGAAGGGGACTATGCCCTGTCTGCCCTTCTATAATTTTTGGATTCTGAGCCATGTGAATGTGTTAATTTCAGCAATGTAAATTAAAAAATGCTTGTGAAAATCTCTTCTCCATTCCTCCGAGGGCTCCTTTGGAGGATTAAGCATCTTCTGGGGACTGGCCAATCCCCTTAATTAGCTGTTGTGGGGGCAGCGGCTGCATCTCAGCCAGCCCGTGTCCCACCAGGGCTGACCTCAGGCAAGTTGGCATCTCTCACAGCTCCAGCTTATCCTTTCTTTCTGTGCCAGCTGCTGCTTTCATGGTCCCCCATGCCAGTGCAGTCCTGCACTAGCCCACCTCCTTTCCTACTTGTCCCGTCTGCCTCCTACAATCTCTCCTCAGCCCACACCTCCAAGGGCATCACATCCCGGGATACTGGCCAGCCTCCAGGTGGCTCTTCCGATGCCTGCCTCTCCTCCCTCTGGTCCATCCTCCCCACAGCTCAGCCCTGTTGAGCTTCCTCAAATACAGATCTGTTCTCACTACTCTGCTGTTTAAATCCTCCTGTAGCTGCCGGTGTTAGTGCTCTGCCCTCAGATACCCTTTTCCATTTTTGTGCATGACGCCCCCTTCAGTGGGCTTTCAAGGTTGACACCTGAGGCTCTTTTGGAGGGCTGTCCTTGGCCTCCTGAAGCTGCTTTACGTTGAAGTGTGACTGATGACTGCTCAGAGGTGGTGGTGGGGAAGGAAAGCCTGGCTTCCTTGCCCCAGACCGGGCTACCCTGAGGCCTTACACTCCAAAGTTGTTCCCTGGGCCTCATGGGAAGCCACCCTGCACAGCTGAGCTACAACTCTTGCTTGGCTTCTCCTCTGCCAACTAGTCTCCCCTGGGAGCTCTTCCTTAAGAGTCATTCAGTGTCTAAGATGAATTCCTTCTTGGAAACCTATCACCCACAATTTAAATCTTAATCATTGATCTTTACTCATTTCCTTTCTCCCTAGAAATTTATCCCATATCACATCTACATTTATGCTACACCAGCTTCTAGTTGTCTTGCAACACTCTGTGTCTCAGTACCTGCCCTTTTTTGGTAAGTTAAAAAAAAAGTGAAACCTTCCCTCTCCCCCTCCCTCCCCATTCTTTAAGACTCTGCTCGGTATCACTTCTTTTGAGTCTCTAATAGAGCTAGTGGCTTCTCCTATGCTCTCAGGGTACTGTGTAAACTCACTACAGCACCCAGCTCACCAAACTGCACTATCTTCCGTGCTGCCTAGCATGGCGCTGGGCAGAATGTAGGCATCAAGTAGATGTTTTTTTGGATGAATACCGATCCCCTAAAAGCCCTAAGGCTCTCCGCTACTGGGTTTCTCAGATCGTGAATCTCTTCAGCCCCTAGTCAGCACTCAGTGTCCGTGTTTCATGCCCTCAGAGCTCTACTCTGTTGCTTATGTTTCTAAGATTAACCCAGTCTTGTTGGAGGGAAGCAGGTGGTGACCTGTAAAGAACTCTGCTCCCTCTGGCTTCTTGGGATACCAGGACTGAGGTCGAACTCTGTGTGGTGTGGACTCCCTGGGCCCGTTTGCTGACTTCTTTCAGTAAGTGGAAGGTCTAGCTTCTAAGGTCTTCCATGGCTGATATGAAAGTCCTCTGTGCACTGGGGCCTGGTCTGTCTTGTTCTCTGCTCTCCCAAAGCCAAGAATGGTGCCTGGTGCAGAGTATACTCTTAAATATTTGTCAAGACAAAGAACTGACAACTTCAGTGGCTACCTATTGCTTGGTGCTTCATATGTGTTACTTCATTTAATTCTCAAAGAGTAGCCAGGATTTGTGTGCAGATTTGTATGTCTTTGAAGCCTGTGTTCGTCCTGTGATACCTGATGGCCTTCGGCGGACAAGGCCGTCATAAAAAGATCTGTTCCAATGATGGCTTTTACTGATGACCGTGGGAGGCAGAGGAGATCCTGAGGCCCTTGTTCTTCTTAAAGCATATACAGCCACAGGGGATAAGAGGAATTGAGGGTGGTTAGTGGAAGGTGCTGAGAGGGTGGGGGGAAAATCTGATCCCTATGATCTAAATGGGGTACCTGGGCAAATGGTGGAGTTTAGGTGCACAGTTCCAGGCATGTGCTGATAAGCCAGCTCTCTAAATAAAAAAGCTCTGCTTGGTAGTGTCTGTTGATTTCTTCACTGTGGCTGAATTCAAGCAACCAACATGAAGTCACTGCCTGCAGAGTTGGAAGGGATGCACATAATGAGCTCTCACAAGCCAGAAGCCGCCCTGCAGCTGGGGGCTGTCCCCAGAAAGCCACAGGAAGATCACGGCTCCTGTAGACTCTACGGGCGGCTCTGGGAAGCCTCAGCTCTCACCCCACCTTTTTTGAAGATTAGAAAAGGTCTCTGCCATTCTGGTTTACAGCAGCTACCCCGTTACCTTGGTAGCCACCTAGGCTGCTGGCAGGAAGGCTCCCTCAGATGGCCCTCGGCTCTTCTTTGGATCATATCCCCTGCTGCCTTGCCTTGGACTGGGACAGAGCCCCCCAAGCAGGAAAGGCAGCCCTACAGGATTCTTGCAATCAGTTCATCAGAAAGCAGTTCAGGTGGTGCCTTCCCAAGAGGAAGAATGCGAGCATGTGAGTGCCATTAACTACTCTCCACCTCTCACTTGGATCTGGGTAGTACTTTCCTCCTAATTCCAGGAAATCATAAACACCAAGGAAAATGCCCTCCCTGGACTGGGCCTCAGGCAGGGATGAGGCCCAGACAGAAGTCAGCAGGCATCCCTGAAGAGATGGTGAAGCAAGGGTGGGAAAGCAGTGAGAGGCTGGCGCGTGCCTGCTTCTGGCTGCAAAGGGACGCTGCTCCCCAGCTGGGGTATGGGAAACGGGCCTCACAGCCAAAGGGCAGGCGCCCTGAGATGGACAGCTCTACAGGGAAGAGGAAAGACGCTCTGTCCTGGGGATGCAGCTCCCTGAGAACCTGACCTGCGTATCGTTAGGTCTTTCTCTCAAGTACTTAGCACCTTGCTGAGCACAGAATCACCACTCAAATACGAGCTGAAGGAGAAATGAGACCTTTATTACCCCAGAGCATTTGTGAATCCTAAAGCAAAAAGGAAAATGCAGGGGCAAGGAAAACAAGAAGGACCTAGAGAGGCCACCAAGGCTCGGCCAGGACACAGCAGAGGCCTTCTCGTCAAGGGTATGCGGTAGGTAGGCGGGAAAGGCCCCTCGTTCCACTGAGATAGGCCAACCACGCAGTCTGAAGAGGAGCTGAGATGTGCCAGGAGACTTAGAACTTGCTAGTATAGAGGGTCATAGCCCACTTGGGCACTCGGAGGAAGCTGGGCAAGTAGGAGGCCAGCCAGCCCAGGCTGGAGACATGGGAGAGAATGGAGCTCAAAGACAAATAGTCTTGGATGGGGCGGCCTGCAGATCACAGGAAGGGAAGAAGGGTTAGACCCTGGTTTCCCACTCCTCAGACACCCACACCCTGGCTGAAGAGACTGAGTAGGATGTGAGGGAGGAAGGAACAAGGAGACAGGGTGGGAGAAGTGAGTAGGGAACAGAACGAAGAGAGGTCCAGGCTGGGGCCGGGCCAGAGCTCTTACCATCGATGTCCTGAAGGCCATAGCGCCGAGCGAGGTCACAGGAAGGCAGCACCTTCCCACTCAGGTGTAGGATATTGGGGTCTGTGGGCACACAGACAGCTGAGATGGCGTGGGAGTGGTGCAGGGTGACCAGGCTTGGGCCCGATGGCACAGGGCGCCACTGAGACAGGCTTAGGAGGCCAGAATCATTTCTCTCTGTTCTAGGAAGGTTCCTGAGCCTCTTGCTTCTGGCCACACAGGCCTAGTTTCTGAGGCTCCCACTCCTCAAACTGGGCATTGGACCCTCTGGGTCTCCAAAAGGCAGAGGAGGGCGTATTTCTCAACTACATCCTGAGCCAGGACCTAGAAGTAGCTGCCACCACCCTGCAGATCCTCTATGCCCTTTCTTGTTACCAGCTGCCCCCAACCTCATCACCTGTTGCCAGAGCCACCACACATTTGCCACTCATTTCTGTAGTCTCCGCAGATGAGAACTGAGATCTAATCTGAAACACAGGGGCAGAGAAGTGAGGGGTTAATTTCCAAGAGAACTGCCCAGTACCTTCCCACTTTCAGCCTCTGTTCCAGAAGAGAGAGGTCCTCATCACTGCGCCTGCAGAACTCAACATCTTGGGTGGTGCAGGAGTGACTCCTCCCGACATCCAGTGAGCCCTGTAGCCCGACACCAGGACCCACTGACTTTCCGCCTTTCCTAAGTGTAAAGATGTGGGGATGCCAACTACATCTGGACCTTCTAGACTAGTTCAGGGCATAGGCTTTGGAGTGGGACAGTCTTCCTACACAGGGCATCCGTGACCTTGAGCAAGCTGCTTAAGCTCCCTGAGTTTCAGTTTCACCAACTGTGAAATGGAGATACCATCTCCCTTACAGGATTAAAGGACATAACGGGTGTTGGTGCTCATGCTGCGCCTGCCACAATAAGCACCTGGGCATTTACTCTTTGTTGTTACTGCCGTGTTGTTGCGGATGGAAAGGCCGATTCCCTGCAATCTCTGCCACCCTTGCCCTCCCTTTGCTAACCTGCTCAACCAGCGGATCAGTGGTGTTGTCACCCTTCATCGCCTGCTCCTTCATCAGTTCTGTCTGTACAAACCCTGGCCACAGAGAGACGTAGCTGACTCCATGGCGCCGCAGCTCGTGGGCACAGTCAGCAGCCAGCCTGTCGCACTGAGAGGGTCAGAAGGCCAGGTGAGAACCAGGGCACCTGGTCATGTCACCTTCCTCCCCTGCCTTCCCTGTTTCTGTCGAGGATGTCCCAGACCCTTGGTATTCCCGGGAGCCCAGGAGCCAGGGATCAGCTGTCCACTTTCCCCAGTGCACTGCCTACGCAGGCCAGCCAAGAGGGCCCCAGGCAAAGGAACTGTCCATGCAGGGGCAGAGGCAGAGGTGAGGGCCAGTCAGCCTTACCACTCTCACCGAGGACTGTATCTCCTGAGCTATGGGTACCATCCCTGCCCTACACCTCCCAATCCCTGTGCCATTGGGCCTCACCGCAGCTTTGCCCACACCATAGGGGACGTTGATGAAATAGTGCAGCCCCCCAATGGAGGAGATGACCACGATGAGCCCCCGGCCAGCTGGTACCATCAGCCGTGCGCCATACACCGAGCACAGGTAGTGGCCTCTAGAAGGTGAGGCAAAGGAGGAGAAGAAATGAAACACATTCAGGGCTGTTTCAGGAAGCTTCTTCTGCCCCCTAGTCATTTCTCAGCTGGGAGAACGCAGCATAGGGCAGCTGCAAAGCTGGTGAATCAAGGGCTTGAGGCCACACTCTGAGAGAGACATTGATAAAATCAACCACCAAAGGATGAGAAATGGCAATCTTTAGAAGACATCATGGAAGAAACAGCAGTAACAGAACTTAAATAGTCGGGGGATAAAACATAATAAATAAATGATCTACAAGGGAAAACTATAAAGTTCTATTTAATATAAAAGAACAAGTACAGATATAATTTGTTTAGAAGAATCAGCACATAAAACATCAGTGCTACTTAAATTAATCCCTAGATTCAGTCAATTTGAGTTATATCTCAGACTTCTGAAGAAATAGACAAAATAATCTAAGAGAATAAATAGGCAATGAGAATGTGGGAGAATAGCCGGGAAGACTCTGAAAAAGGAAGAGTAATATCTTGTGGGTGAGAGGGATATGCTCCCCTCCCATCGCCACCCTGCACTAAAATATACAATGACGTGACAGTTAAAAGAGTGCAGGACTGGTATAAGGGCACGCAGGTAAGCCAATGAAACAAAACAGTCAATAATTAACCCAAGTGTAAATGCGAATTCAGCAAATTATAAAGGGAACATTTCAAACCAATGAGGGGAGATGTACCATTCAGCAAATGGATTTGGGACAACTGGTCAGTTATTTAGTGGGTGGGACTGGCTCTCTACCTCATTTATTATTTTAAAATGCATTCCAAAAATATTTGAATATTAAAAAAATGAATGTACAAAAGCAGTAAAAGAAAGCATGACAATGTATTCATAAACCTGAGGTGGGGAAGCCTGTCTCTGTATCACACTGAGACAGAAACTTGACTTCTAAACAGTAAGACATATATATACATAGATATACAAACACATACGTATGCATAGATAGCTGTGGAGGGCACACATGCAAACAATGAGTAATAAATTGGGGGAAATATTTGTAAAATACACATCAAAGGAATCTATTCTACAAAAATCTTATAAATTGATGTGAAAACACTAATTTAATAACACAAATTTAATAACTCACTTTTGTGAGTTGTCACAAAAGAATAAGGAGCCAATAAGAAAAGAAAAAAAAGCTCAACTTTTCAAATACTAAAGAAATGTGAATTAAAAAAACACCTTCAGAGATCTTTGGCCCATTAGAGTAGCAGAACTTGCCTGATCTCCCGGCCTGATACGTCTCGTATGACCGAGGAAGCAGGGAAACAGATGTTCTCCTTCACTGTCCAGAGCTCATAAATTGGTGGGGTCTTTTTGGAGTTTGATAATATTTATTACATCTTTAAGACATACATATTTTCTGACCTAAGAATTCCACTACTGCAACAGATAAAGGGTTTGATCAATGAATTATGGTATCTCCTCCCAGTGGAAAATTTAAAAGAATGGCAGAATATATACTAGGCTATTAACAGTATACCATGCTTCAGGCAATGAAGGAAAGGGTGGCGAGGAGGAGAATGAGATTATACTGGTCTTCACAGTATATTAAAAAAAAATACATGCATACTTGGGAAATGAGAAAATCCTTTTTTTGTGTGTGAGAAACAGGACCCTCCAAATGAAAACAAGTAGAGAAAGTTATGGAATCAAAAGGAAGCTCAGCCTAAGGTAAAGCAGAGGAGAGGCACAGTGAATGTGTGTGTGGGAGGTGAGAGGAGGTGCCGCTTAGCTTCCAAGAGGCTCACAGAGTGACCTTCACCCTGGAGAATTCATCAGGGCTCAGGGGCCAGGGTCTGGGTCTTTACCTTGTAGGCTCAAAACCCTGACCAGCAAGAGATAAGAGTGTGCAAAATGGCTTAAAGACTTAAATATAAAATATGACACCATAAAATTCCTAGAAGAGAAAGTAGGCAAAACACTCTCTGACATAAATCATAGCAATGTTTCTATAGGGGGTCAGTCCCCGAAGGCAATAAAAATAAAAGCAAAAATAAACAAATGGGACCTAATCAAACTTATAAGTTTTTACACAGCAAAGGAAACTATAAATAAAACAAATAGACAACCTACCGACTGGGAGAAAATATTTGCAAACTATGCAACCCACAAAGGCTTAATTTCTAAAATATACAAACAGCTCATATAACTCAGTATCAAAAAAACAAACAACCCAGTCACAAAATGGGCAGAAGACCTAAACAGACATTTCTCCAAAAAAGACATACAGATGGCCAACAGGCACATGAAAAGATGCTCAACATCGCTAAGTATTAGAGATAAGCAAGTCAAAACTACAGTGAGGTATCACCTCACACCAGTCACACTGGCCATCATCAAAAAGTCTACAAATACTAACTGCCAGAGAGGGTGTGGAGAAAAGGGAACCCCCCTACACTGTTGGTGGGAATGTAAATTAGTGCAGCCACTATGGAGGATAGTATGGAGGTTCCTTAAAAAACTAAAAATGAGTTGTCATATGATATAGCAATCCTACTCCTGGGCATATATCCAGAGGGAACTCTAATTTGAAAAGATATATGCATCCCAATGTTCACAGCACTATTTACAATAGCCAAGACATGGAAACAACTTAAATGTGAACTGAATAAAGAAGCTGTGGTATATTTATACAATGGAATAGTACTCAGCCATAAAAATAATAAAATAATGCCATGTGCAGCAACATGGATGGACCTGGAGATGGTCATTCTAAGTGAAGTAAGCCAGAAAGAGGAAGAAAAATACCATATGATACCACTCACATGTGGAATCTAAAAAGAAAGAAAGAAAAAGGACACTATAAACTCATCTACAAAACAGAAACAGACTCGCAGACATAGAAAACAAACTCATGGTAATGGGGGGAAAGGGGTTGGGAAGGGATAACTTGCAAGTTCGAGATTTGCAGATACCAACTACTATATATAAAATAGATAAATAACAAGTTTCTACTGTATAGCACAGGGAACTATAGTCAATATCTTGTAGTAACCTACAATGAAAAAGGACATGAAAAGGAATCTATGTATGTATATATATGACTGAAACATTATGCTGAATGCCAGAAATTGACACTACATTGTAAACTGATTATACTTCAATACTTTCAAAAAAAAGTGGGGAAAAAAGAGAGATGAGAGTGTGGAAGGCCCCTCTCTTTGGAGGGCTAAGGATATAATCATTGCCAATTTCCAGCTCTTGGGTTTTCTTTTCTTGACTCTTAGCTGACCATCCCTCTCTGTCCTCATAACCTTAATTCCACTTTGGAAATCACAATTGGATTCTAATCCTGCTGCCCTGGGATTGCCACTAGAAGCCTTGGGGGTTCTTAGACGCTTTAGACAAGAAATTTGCTTATAATGGAAGGGTGACCCACACAGGTGGCTGATCACATCCATGCAGTGCAGTTTCTGAGAGGGTACTACAGTTCCAACAATAAACACAGACATAACTGGTGTATATCATGCTAGGTGAACTCTAAATGCTGCGTTTCATCTCACTCCTGTGCCAGATGTATGTGTAACCCCACGACACCCCTCCCTCCCAGCCTGGACCTGGGAGTGCCTCTCCTGTGGGTCTGGAGTGAGGGGGTGGAGGCTAAGATGGTGAGCCCTCACTTTCTTATTGACCTTGTCCTGATGTAAAACAAAACAGTTTCTTCCTCTAATCATCTAGAAATGTTGACTACAGATGGTATGCTCTATTGAGGGAAAGAGGCTCCCTTCTGGGTCATGCGTTTGGATGGGCAGTGAGGCAGGAGAGAGGGCAAGGGCAAGTTCAGATGAGAATTACTGACAGAAACAAGGCAAAAGTTAACTTTCATGGCTACATATTCACCTAGATGAAACTTCTTCAGAGGTTAGTGGACAAATGGGACAGAAAGGAGAAGAAAGAGACAAGGAGGCACAAGGAGACAAGGAGACAAGAGGGAAAGGAGAGGACACCTGGGGAAAGGTCTCGGCCCTCAGCTTGGCTGAGTAAGTGAGGGGAGCCCAGGCCCTTGGGGGTAGAGCGGGGAGGGGAACACCCACCTGAGCCCAACATTGTTGATATCATCCCAGATGGAGGCGGGGCTTTCCCAGAATGCCTTCTTAGTGTTGTTGAGGATCACCTGGAAGGCACAGGGAGTGTGATGACTAGGATAATCTGAAGGCTGGAAGGTATGGGGGGCTGGACAGTGGAAGGGACAATGAATGGGGATGAGGACTCAGAAGTCACAGGGGAAAGGCAGGTGTGTGGAGCTGGAGTCAAAGTTCACAGAGCACCTGGACTCCAGCATAGGCGTTGTTGACCAGCACATCCAGACGCCCATGCTGTTCTCGAGCCACCTGTTCAAACAGGCTTCGCACTTCACTCTCCTGACTTGAATCGCATACCACAGGCATACATCGGCCCCCTCGAGATTGCGCCTGGAGAGGGACAGAGGGGATGTGAGCTCAGTTGCACACGAGTGTGAGACCAACACAGCTCCCCTCAACTTCCAGCTTGGGTGTTGAGAAGACAATAAGGAATCACAGCCAGCAGCTGAAGGAACATGGTGGGCAATACTGCCCTCTGGTGTCTTTTTGAGGAGTTTCAGGAATGCTAGGTCCTCTCATTGTAGAGCAAGGTGGATGGGCATCTCAGGTTTAAAATCTACAGACATTTACTGAGGCCCACCATGTGCAAGGCACTGTATTCTGCATGTGGAGAGTGAGGGACAAATAAGGCTTGGAGGCTGCTCTTGAGAAACAAGTATCTTTTTCCTTGTTCTTACGGGCCCTTAGCTTCCACCCTTCACCACTCATGTGGAATCCCTAGTCAATCCCAGCCCTCTCAACCTTACTCCACCAATATTCCTGCCTGTTAAGTGAGAGATCAAAGCTCTCAGACACGAACTACTACTTCCTGACCTGCCTCACCCTCTACAAATGTGCCCCCATCCTCTAAATTCAGAGAAAGTAGAGTACCTTATTCAAGAACAATCCTCATATTCTCCAGATCCATGCTCTGGGTCCCACTCTCTGGCCTCCATGCCTAACTGCTCACCCACACTTCCAGACAATTCTGTGCACAGTTCTTACTTACCATATTCACATTAATTACTCATCTCTTATCACTTACTTTATTCACATCCCATTGAAATGATTCATTTCTGCCTTAGACTTCTTGCTGGACTCTATCTTTTAAGAGCAGAAGTTATGTCTTACTAATCTTGGTAATCCCAGTGCTTCACCTGGTGCTTAGCAAATCAAATGCACCCCGATATTTATTTAATTGAAATCCAGTAGAAAAATCAAGTGAAAATGTACAATTCAATAAAGTCTTATCAAAAATAGAGAAAAAACACAGGTCCACAACTTTTTAGATGCCATTCTAAATTTCCTGAAGTTTTTAAAATAAAATTCCCTCCGTAGCAAAATATGACCTAATCTGAAGATATTTATGAGTTTTATTTATCCTGCTTTGAATAAATAAATATTCACATTTATTAAGGAATATTACGGTGTCAGGTAAGAGGAGTGGTTAATGGGAAGGGCTCCCTCAGGTGTTTTCCGCCCCTGGGGTCCCAGAGGAAGCACTCACTTCCTGAGCAGTGGCCTTCAGCGTGTCCAGATGGCGGCCAGTGATGTAAACTGTGGCACCTGCTTGGCAGAGCTGCAAAGCGATGCCGCGGCCAATACCCCTGGAAGCACCAGTCACCACACACACTTGGCCCTTCATGGGAGCTGCCATGACTCACAAGCAAAAGGGTTAAATCTGTGGAAGCAAAGACTCGCTCTGAGAAAAGCCTGCAGATTGTGTACGTGGAAGGGGGATCCTGACAGTGGTAGGAGGTGGAACCAAGGTTGAGATCCTTTGACGGGAGATAAGTTTCAGAAGGGGATAACTAGGGCAGGCCCCAGGACAAGGCTGGATGTTCCTTCTGAGAGGTAAAGGACTGAAGAAAGAGGCTGCAGGGGGTGCTGTCCAGGCCGGCCACCTACTGGAACTCTGGGTGGTGGACTGTGGCCCGGCAGTCCCTCCCGGCGCGTCCATGCAGAGTCCTGGGCTATCTGGGGCTATGGCTGCAGGCTCGGAGGCGCGGCTTCCGTGTCGGGAGTGGGCTCGAGGCCCCGGGACCCTCAGCCCGAAGTGTAAGGAGCTCATGCCTCTTACCTACCACTTATGCTGCCGCTAGAGTCCTCGGGCCGCCTCTCTCGCAAAGTTCTCGGAGTCAAGGACTTTAATTCTGGCCGAGGGGGAGGGACGAGGTGACAACGACGGGGTCAGAGTACGAGGCTGGAGTCGAAGTCCGCGTCTGGAGCGATTTCACCTGGCGACACGGACAGGAAAGTCAAACAGCTCCCTGCGCGTCGGATTCCGGGCCGCGGCGATTCGGCGATAGCCACGCCCACCCTAGGTGGGCCGTCGCCGGCTTATGACGTGTAACACTGCGCCCTGAGCGCGCCGGCGTGTCTAAACTCGGCCAGGCCCCATCCTTTACCGGGCTGTGTGAGGTTTCCCCTGCGACCAAGGAAGCTTTCGCCCACGAAGAGGACCCAAAGCACCCATGGGGTTGGGTCCGCGCTCCCCCCACCAGGCAGGTCGCCGGTTCCCAGCTGGAGGCAAACGAGGGCGCGGGGCCAAGGGGTCGGGGCGTCCCCCAGCAGGCCGCCAGCGACCAACCTGCCCGCCTCCGGACGGGCGCTCGGAGCCGGCTCCAGATGCATACCCTCACCTGAGCCCGGAAGCTCTGGGGTATTTCCGCCGGGCACTATCGGCGCTGAAAGAGGCCCCCGAGACGGGAGAAGAACGAGGTAGGGAGCAACTTCGGGGTGGGTCAAGGGATGGATTAGTTGGTCATATAATCCAGGACAGGCAAGGAAATTTTCGTGGGTCCTCGGGGTGTGGGGACCTAGTTTCATCTCCTATGTCCTCTTCTTCACTCGTCGCCCCTTGGTTAAGTAATGGGACATAATCTTATCCTCCTCGCATTCTCTTTGATATATTCCTTGTTTTTCCAGAGCTGATGGTGCACAACATCTTGAAAGAAGTGGAGGCTCAGGCCCTAGCCTTGGCCACAAACAGGACCGGTAGTGAGATGCTGCAGGAACTGTTGGGGTTCAGTCCCCTTAAATCGTTGTGTCGAGTATGGGCTGCTCTGCGCTCCGACTTGCGTTTTGTGGCCTGTCATCGATGCGGCGTCCACGTATTGCAAAGTGCTTTGCTGCAGCTGCCTCGATTGCTAGGGAGCCCTGCAGAGGAAGAAGAGGAGGAGGAGGAGGAAGGGAAGGATGGTCCTTTGGAGACCCTAGAGGAGCTGGTCCTGGGACTAGCAGCAGAGGTGTGTGGTGATTTTCTTTTCTACTGTGGAGACACCCATGGCAGCTTCGTGGTCAGAACTTTACTACAGGTATTGGGCGGGACTCTTCTGGAGTCTGAGAGAGCCAGGCACCGTGGCTCCCAGTCACCTGGTGAGTATTTCAAGAGAGGGATGTGGACCTAGTGGGAAGGAGAAAATAAGCAGAAGAATATTTCTTCAGGACCTTGAAGAATTAGCAGAGAAAGAAGGACAGGGATACCAAGCCAAAGATTAGTGTGCATAGAGGCCCAGGGGTGAGGATGCATAGGCGTGTTTAGAGAATAGCTGTTAGAAGAATGGGGCCAAGGAAAAGAGGTAATTCATTCCAGCATTGGACTTCAGCCACAACTTACAGTAAGAAAAAAAGCTTTTTTAAACGTGACTCAATATACATATGTGTATATATACAAATATATTGCGTGAGTTTTTTTTTTCTTTATATATATATACACATATTGGAGTCAAGCAGAAGTTCAGGAAGCAGTCCCCTTACTACATGCAACCCACTCTGATACTTTCTTTACTTTTATTTTATTCTGTTGTGTTCCATTAAAAAATGCTTGTTGAGACCCACTAAATTGATTTCATGATACACTCATAAGCAGCAACCTATATTTTGAAAAATGTTAGGAAATAACGTAGTGAGTTTAGGTGAGGCCTGATTTTGGAACACTTTGAATTCCTGGCTGAGGAGTTTGGACTATCACCTATGGGCCTGGTTGAAGTTTCTTAGAAAAATTAAAACAGAAATGTAGTCTCTCAGTTCAGTCATCCAGATGAGAAGAGACATTCAGTTGTACTGTATGTGTTCTGCATCTCCAAGCTGAATCCTTGTTCAGTTATGGAATTCTCCCTCCTGGATGGCAGTTTGTGATCTCACCACTGCATACGTTCTTTTTATCTATTTATTTATTTATTTTTGTTGAAGTGTAGTTGGTTTACAATGTTGTGTTAATTTCTGGTGTACTGAATAGTGATTCAGTCATACACATATGTATATATCGCACACATTCTTTTTTTTTTTTCTTTTTATCGTACACGTTCTTGATCTGCCTTCAGAAGCACAAAGGGCTCCAACTCGGGAATGTAAGCCAACTGATTTCGAGGTTCCTGAAACCTTCTTGAATTGCCTTCAGGACGTGAGCTCCTGCTTTCTGAAGGACATTGCTGGTAAGGAGGGAAATAGGAGGGTCTAGGGTCTACTTTTCTGGTGGTGATTGTCATCAGACAAGCCTCTTGAGCTGCTTTATTTGTCTTTTTTTTTTTTTTCTATATAGACCACTTATGTCCATAGTCCATTGTACCTTGTTGTTTGAGGTTGTACAGGTTGTCTGAATTTTGAGAAAGCTGCTTTTATTTCTGCCCTCTCCTCACAGTGTTTATCACTGACAAGATCTCCAGCTTCTGCCTTCAAGTGGCCTTACAGATCTTACACCGCAAACGGCCCCAGTGTTGTGCCCACCTCTGCAATGCTGTGATTGGCTACCTGAGTAGCCGCAATTCCTCAGCAGATGGCAGGTATGGGCAGGGCCTCAGGATTGACCAAGGTTGATGGGCTGTGTGAAATGAATGACATGATGTGGGTATTTTGTTTGTTTGTTTTAAAAGACAAAGGTTTTCATTTTGTTTAATTTTTTTGTCATTTTATTTTATTTTGTCCCTTTTTATTGAGATATACTTGACATATGGCACTGTATAAGTTTAATGTACATTATGTACAGCATAATTATTTGAGTTACCTCATGAAATGATTACCACAATAAGTTTAGTGAGCATTCATTGTCTCATATAGTTACAAAATTAAAGAAATAGAAAAAGAATTGTTTTCCTTGTGATGAGAACTCTTAGAATTTACTCTTAAAAGCTCTTATATAAACATAGTGTTAGTTACATTTGCCATGTTGTACATCACACCCTAGTATTTATTTATAACTAAAAGTTTGTACCTTTTGACTGTCTTCATCCAGTTCTCCCTCTCCCATACCCTCCATCCCTCTGGTAACTACAAATCAGATGTGTTTTCCTCTGAGTTTGTTTTTTTGTTTGGTTGGTTTTGAAGTATGATTGGCCTACAACACCATGTTAGTTCCCATTATATAACATAATGATTTGATATTCCAATATGCTTCAAAACGCTCACCGTGATAAGTCCAGTGATGTGGGTATTTTGGATGAAGTGATCACCTCCTTCTTGTCCCCAGCCCCCTACTGTTATTTCTGCGTGATCAGACGAGCTCCAGACTCCTGGAGCAGGTGCTGCTGGTGTCAGAGCCCCCAAGGCTCCAGAGCCTCTTTGAGGATCACTTCCGAGGACAGCTGCAGACGCTGGCTGCACATCCTATTGCCAACTTCCCTTTGCAGCGTTTACTGGATGCTATCACCACCCCTGAGCTGGTGAGTTGGGAACTTGGCTGAGTCTGTTTCTGTACTCTGTTGTTGCTGTTAGTTCTTATTCATTGAGACTTGTTTTATTGTGTGCCTGCCTCTGTATGGCTGACCGTGTGCTGGCCATTCCCCTTGAGAATTTATTCTTGGGGGTTTCCCAGAGCTTAGGGTGAAGGTGCCTTCTTCCCAGAGAGGATCTGCTGTGGCTTCTCTCAGGTGCCAGTGCCAGCAGGAGACTGGCTTAATCCCATTTTGCAGCACAAGCATCCATGGCTCGCTCAGTCTCTGGGTACTTGGCTGCAAATCCATGTGAGCACTGGAGCTGTTGTTGTAGCTTCTCTTTTCCGTTGCTGCTTAGTGCCAAGGCATGCTTCCCTGGGGTCTCCTGGGGTGAGTTAGAGTGGAGGGGCAGGTTTAATCCTCATCCTCCCTTCTCTCCAGAGTATGGCCATTTTCGGTCCCCTCCCCACATGAGGCAGCAGCTCTCAGACTGCCCCTTTGTTCTGGAACTTCCTTATCCAGCCAAACCAAAGTCCTGGTATTGGCAGTGCTTTTATGTTTGATCTAGCATTTTTAGTTGTTTTTGACAGGAAGATTTCTCTGAATAAATTAGCCCACTGTTATCAAAACGCCAGATTCTTTATCCTGTTTCTCCTCTCAGCTTTCCCCCGTGTTTGAGGAGCTAAGCCCTGCCCTGGAAGCTGTGCTGGCCCAGGGTCACTCAGGGGTGGTCATTGCCCTAGTGGGGGCCTGCCGCAGAGTTGGGACCCACCAAGCCCAGGTCCTGCAGTTGTTGTTGGAGGTGAGTGGGGGTTACATGCAACCCATTTATGCCCTCGGTTCAAATTCTACCTGCTGGAACTTATGTAATCTCTAGTTGTTGTATCTCTGAACCCAAGAGGGCTCATGTGCAGGGAATTCAGAGATACAGGGAAAGATGAGTCTAAACCATCTCATGGCCCTGGAATAAAAATTGTCTCCCAGAACAAAGAGAGAAGTTTTTTTAAGGAATAAATGTTTATGCAGCCTTTGTTACATTTATAGAGGTTGGGGATACAGCAAGGCAGATGAGATCCGATCCACATGCAGTTTGCATTCTTGTGGAGTTAGGTGTTCTCATTTCTCCTGAATGCTTTCTTCTGACTGGAAAGTTGGGGTTAGGGATGAAGTAGTTTCAGTTTCATCGTGTTCTGTCTTCCCTGCTAGGCATTCCACTGTGCAGAGCCCTCTTCCCGGCAAGTGGCCTGTGTGCCTCTCTTTGCTGCTTTGATGGCGTATGAGGTGTACTATGGCCTGGCGGAGGAGGAGGGGGCGGTGCCTGCAGAGCATCAGGTGAGGTAGGGGAGAGGCCAAACCTGTGAATAATTGGGGACCAGGCTTCCCAGGGTTTAGGAAGCCCCTCATCACTGAGATGGGGATGGTGAGATCTGTAGCTTCATCCAAGTTAGGGAGCAGTTTGGTGGCTGCCTCCTAATTCCCTGTCTCTGTCCTTCTAGGTGGAAATGGCCACAGCCAGGGACTTGGGGGAAGTGACAGTCCTTGGGTCTCTATTGCTCCAGCATTTGCTGCATTTCTCCAGTCCTGGTCTTATACTTCGAAGTCTGAGTGCCTTGACAGGACCACAGCTTCTGGCTCTGGCGCAGAGCCCTGCTGGTTCCCACGTGGTTGATGCTGTCCTGACCAGTCCCTCCGTGACGCGCAAGCAGCGCCGCCGTGCGCTCAAGACCCTAAAGGTTAGAGTTCTGGCCGCTGCTCGGATTCCTCTTCCATTTAGATTCCTCTGCCTCCTACATTTAGAGAATGTGAGCTTCCCTCAGGACTGTCCTTCAGAGTCAAAGAGACCATATGTAGTCCCTAGACTGCTTCAGTCAACCTCTAAACTTCACCCCCCCCCGCCCCAACACACTTGTGAACTGCCCTAGAGGGACTTACCTTGCTTGTCTCAATGCAGGGACAGTATGTGGCTCTGGCGTGTAGTCGCCATGGCAGCCGTGTGCTAGATGCCATCTGGAGTGGAGCAGCCTTGGGGGCCCGGAAGGAAATTGCTGCTGAGCTGGGTGAGTACCAGCACCAATATGTGACCTTTCCATAAGTTCCCTTTTCTCACTCTAAAGAGCTGAGTGGCTGGGGAGTGGACCTAAATTCAGCAGAGACTTCAGTTCCAAAGTGTAGTCTTAGCCATGGGTTCTTGGCAGGCTGTTCTCCGCTACCCCTCTGCTGAGTGTGCAGCCCCATGTGCCCACCCCTCCTCCTGACTTCTGTTCTCTGGACAGTTTAGTGTTAACTCTAGCCTGAAGTAGGTCCAGGGTCCCAGGAAAATGGAGAGACATTCACCCCAAGTAGAGTCTCTTCAAGCTTGGGTGTGTGACTACATGGTGACACTGAACGTGAATGTTTCCCTTTGCAGGGGAGCGGAACCAGGAGCTGATAAGAGATACTTTTGGCCACCATGTGGCTCGAAACGTGGCCCTGACTACCTTCCTGAAGCGGCGAGAGGCTTGGGAACAGCAGCAGGGTGCGGTGGCCAAGCGGAGGCGGGCCTTGAACTCAGTACTTGAAGACTGAGACCCTGGATCAGACTGGGTGTTGATGAGGGAGGGGGAAAGGAAGTATCTATATCATGACCTATTACTAGTTTAAATTGGAGTCAAAAGTCTTACTGATAAAACATTTTTGTATTTTTATTGGAAACACTTTTGTTTTATTTGCGGGGAGGTGTACAAAGAAATAGAGATGTTGAGATAAAGTTAGAGAGGGCTGTTTTCAGGGCATGGAGAACTTAGGGACAGGAGGAGTTGTAAGGATCTCTACATGTAGCAGCAATCAGGGTGGGATCCAGATGCCTGGGGACAGGCTGTGGCCTTAAGGGTAAGTGGGAGGCTGGAAAGATGGCTAGGAAGAGAGCGTTCTTCAGGAATGGGCATAGGCCAGCGGTGTAGGGCATTATGCGGATGGGGCCTTTCACAATGGGGTCAGAGGACAGTGGGGAAATCAGGTGAGTTATCGGGTCTGCACTGTCTGCAGGCCCCCAAACCTGATGCTGTTTCTTGGAATGAGTCTAGGGCAGAAGCTCAGAGCTCCTTCTCAGTAGGGATGGAGGCGACCTTGCCGCTGCCACTGCTCAGCCCCTTCCACTGCATGGCGAAGGGTGGAGGAGAGTCCCAGCAGCACGTGGCCCAGGCCTTGCAGCAGTGCAGAGGCCCATCGGAGAAGCTCCCTGAAGGGCAGAGACAAGAAGTCGGATGGGTGGGGGCACCTGGGAGGAGGCCAGAGGTGGGCTGAGTTTTCCACAAGGGAGAGCTAACAGGGTAGGGGCGTGCAGAAGGAATTACGGAAACTGCAGCTGTAGGGGTGGGGAAGTGTGACGTGTTTGTCTCTGACCTGAGTATTTTCTTTGGGCCGAGTCCTTGGATGTCACAACTCATGGAGTAGAGCCCATAGAATGTGGCTTTGATGTTGAGGCTGCCAAAGAGGTCTCGAGGGTTTTGCTTGTATACGTCGAAGGTGATGCGCGCGATGTCCTTGCTGTGCCTGGGCTTCTCCCGGCCCAGGCCATACAACTGCATCCCACTCTGTAGGGCGCCCCCATCAGTGCAATGGACTCTCACGTGCTGACACCCACCACTAATCCCCATCAGCACTGGGACAGACCCACCCTTCCCCAGACTGTCCACTATACAGAATCCTCGACAATTCCTCACCTCTCCCATTGCCCCTGCCCCCAAGATCAGGGTTAGGCAAGAGAAGAGGCTTGGGAAAGATACAAAGGATCCATGGCCTATAAAAGCCCCAGTGTGGGCCTCACCCTGCTGGGGCTCCAGCTCTGTCCCAACTCCAGCACCATCAGGCATGTGTCATCCTCCAGCAGCTGGAAGAAGTCCTCGCTCTCCACGGCTGTCCCATCCTCCTCTAGCACCAGCGTCAGCACTCCACTCAGCAGCAGAGCCTCCAAGGCCTGCCCAGTGGCAAGAAGCAGGAGGGAAGGGGCAAAGCTTACCTCACGGCTTGTCCCTATGCAGCTGCCCAGCACCCAACAGTTGGCCCTCGACGCTGGTTGATCTCCCAACTCTACTTCCTAGTGCTTTGTCATCTCTTCAAATGGCTCCAGCTCACAACATTCTTTAGTTGTTGGGTCTAGGGGCTGTCCTTTTCCTGCTTTGCTCCGACCATATCACTGTCATCTCTCCCAGCCTCCTTCCAAGCCATCCCTGCTGGCTGGGAATTGAAAAGCTAGCCAGGTTCTCTTGAATGGATATAGACACTATGTTGATGGGGGCCTGTCGATAGGGTCTTATCTCCAATGTCCTACCTCACTCTCCCCCGCCCTCTCAGCATTCTCCAGAGCTGTTTTCAGTAATAATTAATGACTTGTAACCTTTTTTGAGTCTTCACTCAAGTCAAGTACCTATGTAGCACTTTACATACATTATCCATGTTTATCCCTTCCAACAGCCCTAGGAGGTAGCTGTCTTATTGTTCTCTTTTTCCCGGTGAAGAAACTGAAGTATTAATAGGCTGAAGAACTTCCCAAGTTTTGACACTAGGAAGCAGCAGAATCAGGACTTGAATTTGATCTGTCATACAAATTGCTATTCCATACTGAGTTCTGAATTCTATCCTTTCAATCCTATCTACTCCTTCCCCACCCCCGAAGAAAAGCCTGCTCCTTGAAAAAAAAGTGAATTGACCCAAATGCAGCGGAAGTCATGGGGCTCACCCTGCTGCTCTCAGTCCTGAGGAAGTGGCAGCCCTGTAAACTCTGCCCTTTCTGGTCACCATTCCGAGGTCTCTTCACTAGCTCCTTGGCTGCCCCTCAGTTGGAACCCAGGGACTTGGCTCACTCGCCTTGTCTAGCAGTTCCTGGCGGGTGGCGGCTGTCAGGCCTTTCCGGGTGCTCCTCTTGTGATCACAGACGCGGAAAGGTCGCTGGGGTGGTGGAGCTGAGGTCCAGACCTTACGGCCAAAATCTGAGCTCATATTGGATACCGACCTGGTAGGTGGGAAGAAAGATCAAGGAGTGAGGGTCTTGGTGAATGCAATGGGGATGATGGGGGTGGCGTGGCTGGAGAATTAGGGAGGTTGGGAGGGAGGGATCTAGGTTTGCAGATCAGAGTAGCCTAGGGATAGAGGGAGAGACCATGGAGTAGGGATGGGGTGGTGGTTTAGGAGCTGGACAAGCCCAGTGTGGAAAGTGGGGACGGAGAGGGTGTGCCTTGCCCACACCCCCAGAGTTGGAGTGTGGAGAGAAGGGTTAGAAATCACCTGAGCAGGCTGCTGGGGTTCAGGGCAGAGAGGTAGTCCATGGTGGAGGGAAGGAGCAGGAGAGTTGCTCTCCCAGGAGTTCTGGGCTGGGTGGGTCTCTGTTGTGTTGGAGCTGAAGTGGTGGTGTTTTCTGTTACAGAGCTGAGATCTCAGCCCCAGTGAGGTGGGGGATGAGTCAAGCCTGGACTCTGGCCCCCCTGCCTGGCCAGTAAGAAGGGCAAAGTCCAAGGGGAGGGAGGAGGGGAGGGGCCTAGACAGGGTCACCGAAGAAGGATCAAGGCCCAGAGGTGCCTGGCAAAAGCCATGAAAGTTTGTGTGTGTGCGCGTCTCTGGTGGTGGCGTGTGATGTGAGGGTAAACGATCTATGTAAGAGGATGGAATGTGGTCGCTGGTGTTTTTCTTTATATGGAGGGAATTTCTGGCTCCCAATCTGGAAGATGCAGCATTATGTGTGATTTGCTCTTTATGTGCTGCCACCTATTGAAAAAGCCATGAACTGCAGCTTTATGGAAAGGCAGGCGTTGCTGAGGATGGGCAGGGCTTGGAGAAAATAGGAGGTGAGGTGGTGTGCCTGGGTGGGGTGCGAGGGGAGGATGGGTCCCGATCCATGCATATGGGGTCACCAGGATCCTGTCTGGGACCCTGGCCTTCTGCTTTTCTGCTCTTCCCTCTGTGGTCTACGGGAGGGGCTGGCTCAACATTTCTCTGCTTTCATTCTCTAGAACTGCCTGCTTCAGCCACACTGGATTAGTCACTCTCTCACATTTCTCCTTTGGCCACTTAATAGGCATGAAGGAGATGTGAAAGGGGAAGTGGGGGGTGCATCCCTTGATGGCATCAGGACTTTTGCTTTCGGGGCCCCGTGTCCTATCTCTGACTTCAGCCACAGTTGTGATGTACAGTTGTGTGGAAGTTCAGACTCTCATTGACAGTGAAGCCCTCACATGAGCACAAGTCTTTGTGCTTTCCTGCTTAGGAGTCTGGTCTGAAGCTGTGGCAGCCCACTCAGCCCCCTGACAAGTACAAGCTGCAGGTGTGTATAAGGGCATTCATGCCTCTAGGACAACTCCAACAATGGGGAATGTGAGCTGGGTGTAAGCGCCCCAGTCTTCTGTCTTTCTGGAAGGTATTCTCTGCACTCAGAGGTTCCTGAGGCCCATGGAAGGAGTTCAGGAACACACTTTTATTGGTTTCTTCTTCCCTCTCTTCCCCTGCTTCCTGAGCTGACCTCCCCAATACCTGTACCCACACTCTCAACTCAGGTTCTGCTTTGGAGGAAATCCAACAATAATCGAGACAATAATGGTGTCCTGGCTCCCAAGGAGCCCCCTTCTGACAGTTGACAGGGCAGGAGCCTTTTTTCCCCTCCCTCAATTTTATCCATCTACTAAATTTCTTTATTTGCAAGCTTTGCCAGACCTCTACACCCAGAGAAGGCTGTTTTTCAGCCTGTCTCTACACTGCACCCTCTCCTTTGTCCTTGCTTTCCTGCCACAGCCCAGGAGTGAGGCCCCTTCATGACTGTGTGTTGGGACTACTCAACCAGGTTGTAAACCCCTGACACCTTTTTACACCTCGCCCCCATCCCCATCAGAACCTAGCTCCATGCTGCACACTAAAAGCTGTCATGAGTATAAAATGACTGGGGCAGGGCCCAAGGCAAGAGGTGAGATGGATAGGTAGGAAGTTGAGGAAAAAGGGGGCTCAGCAGGGTCAAGAGTCTGAAAACAGGCACTGATAGAGCAGCTGGGGGCAGTGAGCAGTTGGGTCACCTTCTCTGCTAAGTGCAGGCCAAGCAGCCAGAGAGCATGAGGGCTTTAGGGTGGGAAGACTAGGACCAGAGTGGGAGCAGAAATGAGTGCAGAAACAGGACCCAGGGGCAGCATCCAGCAGTGTCCCTTCTCACCCACATGACCAGGGAAACTTACCTGCACCCCTTCAGCTTATTCTGTTTCCTGGGGAGGCAGGCTCTCACACGCCTGAACATGTTAATGATGGGAAGGACCCAGGTGAGGGAGGCGCCCCAGGAAAGGCCCGAGAGGAGCCCCACCTTGTTCCTCCCCATTCTCGCCTCACCTGCTGCCAACCTGATAGGCACAGGACAGGAACAAGCACCTTGCCCACGGCCGCTTTGCCTTTCAGCTTCCCCAGGCTCCTAAGGGGCCCCCAACCCTGCTAAGCTCCCAGCTGGGTAAGTAGATCTGCCCATGAGACTTTATTCCCCTCCACTCACTTTTGCCCTGAGGTATAAAGAATGGGGCTGGACAAAGAGGGAGAGGCCCGGCTAAAAGGGTGGAGGTGGAAGTAGTGACAGCCTGGGAGTCAAGACTAGGGAAGTCGGCTGACTGAGAGCAGGGGATTTGGGTTCCAAGAAGAAGTAGTGTTTGAGTTGGTGCTGGGGTCCTCCAGGAAGAGACAGAAGCTCCTGGACAGGAGAGAGGCAGGCTGCAGAGAAGTGGGGGAGGCACAGTGCCTTCTCACCTGGCATCAGAAGTCACGAGGTCTTTTTTGCTCCACCACCTGAATGCGCTCTATGGCCCTTTTCAGCCGCCCCCGTCCCCGCCCCCGGAGGCGCAGAAGGATGTCGGTCTGCTACCGTCCCCCAGGGAATGAGACGCTGCTGAGCTCGAAGACTTCGAGGGCCACAGGCGCTGCCTTCCTGCTGCTGGCGGCGCTTCTGGGGCTGCCGGGCAATGGCTTCGTCGTGTGGAGCTTGGCGGGCTGGCGGCCTGCCGGGGGGCGACCGCTGGCGGCCACGCTCGTGCTGCATCTGGCGCTGGCCGACGGCTTGGTGCTGCTACTCACGCCGCTCTTCGTGGCCTTCCTGACCGGGAAGGCCTGGCCGCTGGGCCAGGCGGGCTGCAAGGCGGTGTACTACGTGTGCACACTCAGCATGTACGCCAGCGTGCTGCTCACCAGCCTGCTCAGCCTGCAGCGCTGCCTCGCCGTCACCCGCCCCTTCCTGGCACCCCGGCTGCGCAGCCCCGCCCTGGCCCGCCGCCTGCTGCTGGCCGTCTGGCTGGCCGCTCTGGTGCTCGCCAGCCCGGTCGCTGTCCTACCGCCACCGTTCGTCGGGGCCGGACCGCCGG